CTTCTGTGGTCGGTCTCGTCTAGGCAGCGTGTCCACAACAGAGTCCCCGTTCGGCTGGCAGCCTCGCTATTTAAGGGGCACTCGTCGTTGCTCCCCGTTGGCTGTCCAAGTGGCCATACGCGCACTCGCTAACATTCGCCGTGCAGCGTGACCTCACTGACAGCAGCACTCGGCTCCAGGGTCGTCTGACTTCGCGTGCCTTCTTTGTCCTAGTCTGGTCCGCCCTTTGAAGGTCGCGCGACTTGGCCCGTTCTCTGTATGCGCCGGAATGGCGTCACGTGACCTCCGATGTCTGTCTGCCTGGGTGACGTGCCCGGTCATCCTAACATCAGGGATTGTTGGACGGGGAATTAACTGAAAAAAGCGAGCGTATTATGTCGTTTTTAAGTGTTATCGCTTAAAAATTTTGAGATTTATTATAAATACGCTAGCGTTTGATTTAACGGTATCAGACTGTGTTTTCACGTGTTACAACTGAACACGGTTGGGAGTTACTGTGAAAAAGCTCATTGAGGTTTGAACAATGTTAAGAGTTATGGATAAGTGAAGTAAGTTGCATTCCGAGATGATATGATGAAAAGAGTTATTGTGAATGTGTTCAGTAAAGTTTAACTGACTGACTTATCTGACTGTTTTCTTTCTCTTAATGTGCCTTATGGTCGGGTGTGCTTTACATAAGAAAAACTTTCGAAAATATTACATTCATTGACAATGCGCCCTATAGTAAGGAAGTAAATCAGGATTTTCATGTTAGTTTATGTGTTCGGGCTTAAAGGTTGGGTTTGCGTTAATGTTAGGCTTTCATGTTTAGGGAAAATTTGTGGTATTAAGGTCACGTTTTTTTTAATTGAGGCTAGTTCTGTAGTTAGGGTTAGAGTTCAGGGTTCAGTCTTATGGATAGGAATTGTAGGTGTTAGATCAGAGGTCGGGAACCTTTTCGACCCAGAGAGCCAAGAAAGCGAATATTTAGAAATATATTTTAGCCACATATCATAGGCTTGAATTCAATTAAATGTGAATATGATAAGCCTCTGGATTTATTCTTTCAAATAATGTCGTTATAATATGCATCGTTAATGCGACTTCTGGTGTTACATAGAGTTGCTGATGGCTTTGTAGTCTCGTTGTTAGTTGGTGAGGTAAAGCTTCATACAATAGTTGAGGCTTTCATCCGTTATATGTGATCGTATGATGGGCTTGATTTATTTAAGATGTGAGAATAATTGCTCACATGCATACGTAGATCCAAACAGGGTCAATACAGCAGTACTCACAACCTGCAGTGTGTGGTTTGTGACATAAAGCGCGTTTCAAGCTTTGATTATCAGCTGGTCTTCGGGTTGAAGTTTTTTAATTTTTGTCCAGATGTGCTTGCTTGCCAGCTCCGCTTTATGTCTGGCGATTCTTTCCAAATCTTCATTGAGTGACTTTAACTTATTCACCCCTGTGTCTGAAGCCTTCAGGTCAGCCACTCCTTCTTCGGAATCTCTAACGGGGACACCAGGAATGTTTTGATTATCAGCTGGTCTTCGGGTTTAGTTTTTTTTCACTTCTGTTCACATGTGCTTGCTCGCCTACTCAGCTTTCGCCCGTGCGATTCTTTCCAAACCTCCATTCAGTGACTTGAACTTATACACCCCTGTGTCTGGAGCCTTCAGGTCAGCCACTCCTTCTTCGGAATCTCTTACGGGGACACCAGGAATGTTACTTAGGTCGACTGTGTTCAGTGAACACTCGGTTGGATGGATGATGAACTCAAAAAGACGAGTGTTCTCATGAAAGTCTCCAAAGCGTGCTCTGAACGGCTGTAGGAGATAAGATGTGAAGTCGGCTAGCCTTCGGAGACCAAAGTTTTGAGTGGGCTTGCTTACTATGCATGCATCTTTGTACTGTCTCAGTTTTTCAAAATTTAGTAAACTATCCGTTTCAGGATCCATGCTAAAGAGCTCCAGCTCGTTTTCAAAAGGAAACACGGCTTGTTGAAGGGGTAATACTGTATTTCCATTGGCTTTCATTTTAATATTGAGCTGGTTCAGATATTTGATCATATCAACGAGATAGTAAAGCATGAGGAGCCACTCAGTTTCGGCTAGCTCAGGATGCTCAATGTCTTTCATGTAAAGGAAAGTCCTTGACTAAACTAGGGTCAAGTCTGGGGACTGTTCTGCTTTATTTGCGCGCCTGTAAGTTAGCGAGCTTTTCGTGGCCGTTAAAAAGCAGGAAAAAAGAGGAGTAGCTACTGTCGGATAGCCGGAAAGGGAACACTGAAATAACTGCTAGATCAAACCTAGGGGGCCTGGACGCCGAAGATTGGTCCAGGTTAAATTGATTCCGCTACGCGCCTCGGTAGCGGCACGTCATTGGTGAAGCCAAAATCACAAAATCTGAAGTTTTTAATCCCAATTTTATCCAAGAGAGCCAGATGCAATCATCAAAAGAGCCACACCTGGCTCGCGAGCCATACTTTCCCGACCCCGGTGTCAGAGTGTAGGTGTTAGAATTTTTGGATTATATAGGGTTAGGGTTAAATTGCACTATGTAGACTACTAAATCGCAGGTACCAGTGCTGTCATGTGTCGCGGGGTCGACCAGGGCCTGCTCACGAAGACACACATGGCGGTTCCCCAGATGACTACTCATTTGCATTCACCGTTTTGGTGAATGATTTGCTCTTTCTTTTCCTGTAGTATGATTTTTGAATATGCCAATTTTTATAATTTCTGCTTCTGTTTGGTTTTTCATAGGGATATTATTTTCTCATTGGCGCGTCGATGGTATATAAAGTGAGTGTAGCTTGCGGGCGGCCTACGATTAGGCTCATTAGCCACTTCCATTTCTTCGTACTTTTTACATTACGCGCTAGAGTGTTCACTGGCCGTTAGCGTACTTAAGCAAGGTAATGGGGTATACGCATGTCGAACGGTTCTTCTTCACGGAGGGTCTTTTCCATTGCTTCCTTTAACTTAACCCACAAAATTCCTTCTAATGACTTTTTCGTCTTACCACGGCCTATAGGAGTCTAAACCGTTAGTGTGCTTGCAACGCTACAATTATCATGCCAAGCACAATATAGGAAGAGAAGCGGTAAGACCAATGATAGTTGTCTATTGTATACAGAAACTCAGTGGCGATCTGAAGCCCCGATACGCAGCAGGTCCGGACCCCGCGCGCGCGTCTGTCTGCTAGCTTGCTATCGACGTAAAATGCATAAACGTCATGCGAGAGTAGGTCACTGACCAATTGATCAACTGCTTGGCCAATAGCAGCCTATGACACCTGTCATAGGC